CTCCAGAAATGTTTGGGTAAGAGGGAGAAGTTTATATTTACTGTAATAAGAGCTTTTGAGGCCGTGAAATGCAAGAGAGGTAGAAAGATGAGGCTTCACAAATTGCTGAATTTGAATATCAAGTTTATTCAGTAGACAATGGCAAGCCATTAAGGATTTTCAGAGTGTAAAAATATGCCCTAGGAATATTATTTTGGCAACAGATATTGGAGTGCAAATGAGGGAGTCGTGTGAGACTAGAGGCAAGGAGGGCACTTAGGTGACGTCTGTGACCATCCTGGGGAGGGGCTTGGGTACTGTTCTGTCCATGTGGGCTGGCGCTGGCAGAGCTCATATGCTCTAGAGCCTGGAGGGAAGAACCAGCCAATGCTGGTTAATGAACGTGTTCTCAAAGCTGAACTTCAAGTGATTTAGTGGCTGAAAATGACTGTGTCTTTTTTTTTTTTTTAATGGCAAATGTGGGGAAAACAGGAATGAGCATCATTTTGGATCTATTGAGCTTTATATGCCATGTGAATGTGTCAAGCAATCGATTTGTAATGTTCATAAGAATATTGGGAATTTGTTCCTGGAAGAGAGACTATAGGGGACTGAGCTGATACAGAGACTCCCTTTTCTGTTCCCATTACAGACACATAAATATAACAACTTGTAAAACATATAGCCAAGCTCAGAAAAGAAAAGAAAGTCCTCAGATTTCATCAAAGAAAGTGTGGTAAGAATGCAGGCTGATGCCACTAACACACGGGGGTATCTATTCCAGATATAATCCCTGGTGGCTTGGAAATGGGATTTTAAAATCTATATGGGAAAAGATAGGTGTTCTTCTAAGACTGGATTTGGAACTGAGTGTTCTTGGAGCCTGGAAGCACTTCCTTGCCAGTGCAAAGTCACTGAAATATGTGCCAGTGTTATGGGTTGTGGATTTATGACATATGAGTATTGTGGAAACCCAAATTGAGAAATGAAGGTAGGCATTTGCCTGGGAACTGGTAAAGTCTGCAAGGCAAGAGAAAAAGGAAATTAAATATCCTTTATAGGAACATTAAAATAACTCAGGACTGTCACTTCAGGACCTTCTACAGAAACTGAAATCACCATGAAAAGGCACTAATGGTAAAAATTACAGGCCACATGAGGAAACAAGCTATCCTAAGAAAAATAAGCAGAAGGAAAAGAAAAAGCAGGAGAATTTTCACTGTAAAGAAGGACATAGAATAATTTGAAAAGGATACTGTAAATTAATGCTTAACCTATTTATAAAGGCAAAGGAAGAACATAATAAAAAGACAGGTCTTTATGGAAAAAAGAATGAAGATTTAAGGAAAAGAAATGGAAATGAAAAATACATGTGTTAAATAAAAACAATAATCGCATTGAACAGCAGATTACGGTTGAAGAGAGGATTAGTGGTCTGGAAGTAGAATTTGAGGAAACTTCAATCATGAAACACAGAAAGATAATAGAAATTTTGAAAGTGAAATTAAGAGAGAATGCCTAATAGAATTCCCAGAAGGAGAAAACAGGGAAAATAGATATTTTGATGAACTAGTACTTTGATGATTTTCTAGAAGAGAACAAAAGTATTAATGTTAATATTGAGGAAGTATAACAAGTCCTGACATACTCATTATAAAATGTAGAATATTAGGTATAAACAGATAATCCTAAAGCAGTAGAGAAAAAATTACTATAAAAATAAAGGAATTATCATTAGACAGAAAAATTCTCATCAGCAAAAACTGAGATGAGAAATAGTGAAATAATATGTTCAAAATGGCAAAAAAAAAAACCTGTCAACCTAGAGTTCCATACCTAGCCAAACTATTATACATTGATAAAAGTGAAATAAAACCATTTGTTGGCAAAGTAGTCTGCAAAAGTCTATCCTTGCTGAAAAAATTACTAAAGGCTGTAGTTCAATAAAATGGACATTGAGCCAGAAGGAAGGAATGAAAAGAAAAAAGAAATGGAGAGGTTGCAGGTCAGGGCTTCAGCAGAGTAGAAACTATTTGGAATAGGTCTATAAGAAATCAACCACCAGCCAATTCAATATGGATAAATGTCGTGAATGCTGTGGGTCCAATCAAAGATAGATGCTGTGGGGTAGCAGTGAGGAAATCCCTGAGATTAGATACTCTCATGGCTGTGTAACATCACTTTTACATAAGGGTGTCAATCTAACAATCCAGGTGAGGAAATATTGCTAATAGTTGAGTGGTTTTCAATTTTGGCAACTTAATGGAACTTTGAAAATTATTTTAAAATAATTAGTGGTTAGATTCTATTCCCTGAGTTTCTGATTTAATTGGTTTGGAGTGTGTCCTACCCACCAGTGTCTGTTTTGTTTTTTAAGCTCCCTAGGTGATTCTGTACAGTCAAGATTGAGAAGCATTGTAATAGATTGTCAGAGAAGTGCAGAGGTCTAGAAACTGATTTCTGCCACCAGTCAAAGCAGACGTGGTAGCCTATTCTCATCATGAGGGAGGCCATTTCACACTCACAAAAATCCCTCACTTTTTACAAGTGGTTGGCAAGCTTTTTGTGTAAAGAGCCAGATAGTGGTATTTTAGGTTTTGTGGGTCAGATGGTCTTTGATGCAACTACTATTCTGCTGCTATAATGCAAAATATCCATGGAGTATAGGTAAACAGATGGGCATGGCTTTGTTCCAATAAAATTTTTATTTGCAAAAGAGCCATGAGCAGGATTTGGCCTCTGGGACTTAGCTTGCCAACCTCTGTTTTCGAGTGTTAAAATACAGTTAATGAGCACAGTTAAGAACTATTGCATTCACTTTGCAGAAAGTAGCCCCACATGTGAATAGGTTAAAGAAGGGTGGAGAAGAACATATGAAGATAACATGCAATGGAGAATGAAGACCAGGCCAACCATAGACCAGGGAAGGACTCAGAGGGAAAACTCTAGTGAGTGAAAATGCACATGGAGAGAGTTAGGGTCATGGCATAAAGGGGCAGCTATAGCCATGTTGTTACTTTTCAGTTAAGAGAATGCTAGAGAGGTTTGTTTGTTTTATATTGTCTTACATTTGTTGGGTTTCTTTTGCTTGTTTTTGTTTTTGCATTTAGAGGGATTGCATGTAAATGAATAGCTTGGACTTTCTTTTTAATCACATCTAGATATTTGGGGTTCAGAGTAAATGTACTTCTCTTTTCAACACATTATCATCATTGTACCTGAATCGATAGATAGCTAGTGGGAAGCAGCCACATAGCACAGGGAGATCAGCTCGGTGCTTTGTGACCACTTAGAGGGGTGGGAAAGGGAGGGTGGGAAAGGGAGGGTGGGAGGGAGGGAGATGCAAGAGGGAAGAGATATGGAAACATATGTATATGTGTAACTGATTCACTTTGTGATAAAGCAGAAACTAACACACCATTGTAAAGCAATTATACTCCAATAAAGATGTTAAAAAAAAAATCCTGTTTCATCCCTTGCCACCTTCTCCAGTACTATGTTCACATAAGAACATTTTCTTTTCTGCATATCTTGAGTAAATTTATACAAATTATTTGAATATTAAGCTCAAAGTATAGCGATTGAAAGAGCAGAGAGATGGGTTTCCTGTCCAGCATAGGCTTTCAAATTTTACTTGACTTTATCCTCTTTTTCTCCTTCTCTGTCCTCATAACTGCTTGCCTGGCTTATGGAACTGCTTAGTTATTTTAATTCCAAAACCCAATTTTTATTCACATTTTAATACTTTTGAAATTTGGTTATATCTTTAGGATCAATGAATATGTATTGAATTATTGATTCTATATTTCATGTTTTTACCCCAAAACCTGTTGTGAAATTAGTGTATCTTCCAATTGACAGCATTGTTTTTTAAATTGAGGTATAGTTGATTTATAATGTGTTAATTTCTGCTGTACAGCCAAGTGATTCAGTTACACATATATATACATCCAATCAAGGAAACATGGGATCATCTTTGCTCATGTTTTTGCCTCCATCTTTGGTACCCACTTCCAGAATTTATGAAGAGTTACATTTCTGGAAAGCAAACCTGATCTTGTCATACGAATGTCTCAAAATAATTTTCAGGGATCTCAAAGTTTCAGCTCCATGGCACGATATTCAAGGGCTTGCTATCTAAAGCCTTTCATATTCTGGCCCAAAGAACACGGTTTCCAGCCTTCTTCCCCACAACCCCTCTCTCCCTCATGTGAATTGCTTCATTCCTGATGATCAGACACATGGTGCATTATTTTAATACAAGTGTTGTAAAATCTCTGAGAAGACTTTAATAAAATGGGATTGGTGTTGAGCTGAAAATAGCTAAAAGAGGCTTTTTTCTAGTTTCATACTTTAAGATGGAAATGTATCATCATCCTTGCAAGAAAGGCTTGACTTTTTATATTAAATTGTTGAAGAAGCTTATGGAATATCTTTATTTGGAGCCTTTTAAACATAGACTAGACACTCTTCTGTTGGGGATGATTTTTAGGTACACCCATGAGAGATAAACAAGGTGAACTTTGAGGTTGTGATCAGTTCTGGGAGTTTGGGGGTGATTAATGACTGTATCTACGTGAGGCCAAAACATCCAGATGGAAATGAAAAGAGAAATTCAGTTTGTCATCTACATGCTTTCTATGTGATTCCAAAGACCTGGATATTTAACAGTTGAATGTATATACTTATTGAAATAAAACAATATATTTCACTGGTATTTTCTGCTTTGAATGTTCACGTATTGCTATAGTTTAAGCAACCTCACGAGATAAACACTTGTTTTATTCCCATCTGCCATCAAATAACGTATATCAAATTGTAATTATTAGAAAAATTAAAATGTGAGTTAACTTGAAAATGTTCCCAATTGTTTTTGTTTGGTCTGAGAATAATAATGAAGGAATAGAGTAAAATAAATTTTCTTGATGACTCTGGTTATTTCTTCATTTTTATAAAATGGAAATTAGGAAATGGCTTATCCACCAGATGCATATTTATATGGCTCTGTATTTTAAATTTAGGTATGTATCCTGTGCCCTGGGCTGTCCATATGAAGGAAACATCACACCGCAGAAAGTAACAGAAGTAAGATATACACCTGGTTTTCTGGTTCATGGTAAAATGATGTGTACTGTTTTAAAAAGTGGGCTGTTTTTCCTAATGTTTATTGCATTTGCACAACTAGACCAAGGAGAGCCATAGACTGGGAGGCATTTATTTGATCACTTAGATAATAGTTTTATTTTAACATTAAAGACTTAGATAGTGCCTATCACTGTCCAGAGTTAACATTTGATTCTTATCATATGGGTGTCCAAAGTTTGAGGGAATAAAAACACCTGATTTGTTTTTATGTGAATAGAACATATTGAGCAACCTTTCTACTTTCTATCAGAATTCTGGGGCGGTTTTTGCACGTATACTCAAACTTTGCCTTGGTTGCTCAGGTAGTGTCCCTTTGTTGTCTCCTGCGTATTTTGACATTTGTATCAGAGTATATACTGCTTCCGTGTTTTTGTTCCTTTGAGATTCTATAGCCCTTTCTGCTGAGATTCAAGTTGCTATTATTCCAGAGCAATTTTACAGCAATTGATTATAGTCATTAAGGACCTACTTATTGAAGTTCATTTTTGACTTCCTGTTCCTTTTTCTTAATTGATACCAATGAATACAAAATGCTTGTCTTTGAAATTATATTAGACTCAGAAACTCATTTGTATATGAAATAGCATATTCTTGTGCACTGCTGTTAAGGTTGATTTTTATAAGTTTAGGGATGTGGTGCTGAAGCAGTGAAGATGGGATTGTTAGAATATCGAACTTTAGACAGGATAAACTTTCGGTTTAGCTAAAGCAATTCCTGTTTTGTGTATTCATTTGAACTGCAGATGTTTCCAGTGAGAGATATACCATCATCTATTAATTAAGCAAGACAATTGCCCACAGAGGCAGATATATCAATACTATAAAATAATGAAACTTAAATATTTAAAAAATTTTATTGAAGTGTAGTTGATTTACAATGTTGCATTTAATTTCTGCTATACAGCAAAGTTACTCAGTTATACATATGTATTCTTTTTCATGTTCTTTTCCATATGGTTTATCACAGGATATTGAATATAGTTCCCTGTGCTATACAGTAGGACCTTGTTGTTTATGCATCCTATGTATAATAGTTTGCATCTTTATGAAGCTGAAATTTTTCAGTCCTTCGCTGGCATGGGACCCTTCTAAGGCTCTGTTATTAATTTGTATTCACAACTATATATCCCTTTTTTAAAAATCAGTTTACTGTTTTTATTATTTTTTTAAATTTTTATTTATTTATTTTTTGGCTGTGTTGGGTCTTTGTTGCTGCGCATGGGCTTTCTCTAGTTGCAGCGAGCGGGGGCTATTTTTCATTGCGGTGCACGGGCTTCTCATTGCAGTGGCTTCTCTTGTTGCAGAGCACGGGCTCTAGGTACGCGGGCTTCAGTAGCTGCAGCACGCAGGCTCAGCAGTTGTGGCTCACGGGCTCTAGAGCACAGGCTCAGTAGTTGTGGTGCACGGGCTTAGGTGCTCCGTGGCATGTGGGATCTTCCTGGACCAGGGATCGAACCCGTGTCCCCTGAATTGGCAGGTGGATTCTTAACCACTGCACCCCCAGGGAAGTCCTTATGTATTCTTTTCTTAAAGAACATTTCCAAAATAGTATAACTTCAGACTCCACAAAACCTGAATCCAGCTCTGCCTATACACCCACCCCTTGCTTTTCTTCCTTCTGGCTTGTGCCACCTCTGGACAGACCACACACAGTCTTAGGCTCTGCATTCCTGCTCCATAATGTCCAGGGTGTTGCTGAAGAGAATCCTGGAACAGGCAGATTGGAAGCATTAGGAATTCATGACCAACAACCTTAACTGGTCTTCTGTTCCACACTACCCTGTGTGGAACAACTCCCTGTCTCCTTTCCAAAATGACTCTTGCAGACTGTGTTCCCTCTGTTGAAACCTCTAGCCCTTCCTGTCTCTTACTCCCCTGTATATGCAACTGCAGAGCCCTTCCCACTGATACTCGAACATGTTCAAGCCTCTTCCATGTGAAAACTTCCCTTCCTTAAGTCAGCATCCCTGGCACTCTTGTAGCCCTTGGATTGCCTTGACCCCACACTTAGGATTTTCCTCCAGCCACTTGAATGGAAGCATCATTCTTCTCTATGTGGCCATTAAGAAATTCCAGCATTTAATAGACAGTTTTGAGGTGATTAATTATCTTTGTGAGGCCAAAAACATACAGATGGAAATGAAGAGAGAAATTCAGTTAGTCATCTACATGCTTTCTATATTATTCCAAAGACCTGTATATTTAACAGTTGAATGTATGTACCTTTTTAAATAAAGGAGAAGAGGAGAATCAGTATTATGCTTTTTTTATCCAAGTGTCCATCCAATAATTGTCTCCTACCTGGACTAGGTAGCCCTTCTGAGTTCCCTTCAAACTATTTTTGATGTTGTATTGATACTGCCTTTCTGAAACATAAATCCCATTATGTCACCACTACTCCACATTTGGTCAAGGCTTTCTACTGCTCTTATGATAGACACCTCAACCAAAATCCTAAACCCGGTCAGTTTGCAAAGCTGTGTGTACTATTTGTATGCTCTGCCCCGGGCCTTCCTCCCCAGCTTTATGGAGCCCCATTCCCCCTTGGTTTTTGCTTTCTTGTCACATCTGTCCTTTGCATCTGACCTTCCTTCCTTTTTTTTTTTCTCTTTGGCCACACCCTGTGGCATGGGGGATTCTAGTTCCCCGACCAGTGATTTAACCCACCTGAAATTCCACCTGAATGTTCTTCTCACACCCTTCCTCCGCAACCTCTTCGACAAGTTGATGCTGACTTTATCTCAGGCTGTCACTGAGGCCCTTCCTGCTTGACAGATCTAGGTCAATTTCCTTTGCTACATGCTCTTAGAATCCTGTTTCTTTGTTCCAAAATTATTATGTTAGCTGTGTTTACACATTCCTGAGTGGAATTGATTAGGGTCTGTCCTCACTTGACTCCAGATTCCATAATACCTTGAGCCTGGACCCTTAACATCTGCATCCCCATCATATCCCAGCACCCAGGGCAGCACCTGATGTAAAATAAGCACCAAAGACACACATAAGGCATCAGTTAAGGGGTGACCATGTGTCTGATTTTGCACAAAGTGATTTTTATATATTCTCATTTTCACAACCAAACATGTCAACACTCACTTCATCATTATTATTGTGATTTTGAAAAATTAATTAGTAAGGCTTAGAAAACATGCTAAATAATGGTGTTTTATTGTTTGTATTTTACAGAATAGGGGCTGAGGCTTCAAAAGGTTAATCTTCTGCCTAGTATCGCATGACTAGCATTTGTGACCGCTGAGATTTCAATCCAGGCCTGTCTGATTCCAGAAGCCATGTCTTTGTCAACATACCATGCTGCCTTCATTAAAATTCATATTGCTCTTTGAAAGTAACATTAGTTATTTGGCTTGAAGGGAGCACAAAGTTTACCAAACTCAAGAGCATCTATTTATGAGCTAGAAAATTTAAGCCAAAAATATCAAGTGTCTGTACCGATTACAAAGCTACTTGATTGACATCTCTTGACCGCCTTGAGAAATACTAGTTCCAAAGTAAATCTGTGATGCTTCTGTTTGATTAAAGGGCTGAGAAAATAAGCCTCCCATAAATGAAATTGTAGCTTATACTTTCATAAATTAACATGTAGCTACTTAGACAGATACGATTCTGAGGCAAACTTGAATATTAGAGAAAGATAACTACAGGAATGTCATTCAAAGTTTTATATAATGCTTGGGATTTAATGAGCAAGGAAAAGGACTAGAAAACTAAAATATACATTTTCCATGGATATGCAAGTTATCTTAGTTGTGATGTTTACTTCTAGATGAGGTTTGCTAAGGAACAACAGGGTTTGAGTGTGTTCATTTCCATTGTTTTACTAGCTTGTCACTTTTCTTGATAGGTGTCTAAGAGATTGTATGGCATGGGCTGTTACGAGATTTCCCTGGGAGACACAATTGGAGTGGGAACTCCAGGAAGCATGAAGAGGATGTTGGAAAGTGTCATGAAAGAAATCCCACCCAGGGCTCTTGCTGTTCACTGTCATGACACATACGGACAAGCCTTAGCAAATATCCTTACGGCCCTTCAGGTATTTTGTATTATTTGTGTGTATGTATAAAAGTGTGTATACTTATTTGCCATATAAACATATTAAGAGCTTTAGTGAGACAATATTTATAAATTGCTATGAATATAACATTTTTTTTTTGAGATTCAAGTGTTGATACTTATTGGGCATCCACAGTGTTCCAAGCCCTTTGTTCACCTCTTCCATGTACGTTATTTCATTTTACCCTCACAGCAACCTTTGCAGTATACATAACATTAACCTGTTACATATCAGGAAACAGGATTTGGAGGTTACGTGACCTGCCCAAGATCACACAGCTACAAAGTGCTGAAGTTGAGACCAGAGACTGGGGCTTCCGACTCCATGCCAAGCCTTCTCTCCTAGTTTCCTAACATGCTGACCCAGTAAGAAATTGTTATTGTAGAAGTATACATTAATCGAGCCATTGTTTGAACGCTGTGGTTAGGTTTAGAATGAAGGGAGAACATTGAATAGCTGTAAATTGGTTGGTAGAAAACTAGAAGGGAGGAAGTGTGACATGACAGAAGAAAAGCTAGATTAAAAATCAAGAGACATTTAAACAGTACCTGACACATGACGTGCACTCAGGAAATATTTGTAAATTGCCCATGCTTTTCAGGGCAATGATGTCTCTTATTACTCTTCATTTGATTTGATAAAATCCCTGAATTTGTTCTTTTTAAAAGTATTAATCTTCTCAGAGCTATGTCTGCTTTTTTCAACTCCCACTTGCTCTCAGCCTGAAAAGTTGATAGATTGAAAAATGATGGCATTTTTGAGGAGTGCAAAGCACAGAGATAGTAGCGTGTACTGTTGTAATCATGTAACTTACGCTCTTTTGGATAATTTGGTGCTCTGTGATGAGGAGGTGTGCTGAAATACAGACTATTTTGTTCAAGATGTCTTCTTGATGCTGGCGAGCATCCTTTTGAAAGAACCCCTGGTTTTTATCAAGTATATTCTGATCAAAATCAAGAGAGCTAGAAAGTTGGAGGATTAAGAGTTGCTTATTACATTCTAATGATACCTTAGTTCTTTTTAATGTATTTATTGAAAGGAATAGATATAAATTGCATTTTAATGTATTTATTTTTAAATTGATGTTATTTCTTAAACTCGGATAAAAATAGTTTCACTGGATGTTCTTCGAACCCAAGATTTTGACAACTAAAGATAAGAGTGTCTGAAAGCTTTTTGGTGAGGCTGAAAATCAATACATAAAGCTTAATGTCATCATCCTGCAGTGCACAGTTGTTTGGAAGAAGTTAAAAAAACCTGTGAATATCAAGCCCCACAAGGGCTTATTTGGACTTTGTAACATATGTGCACAAATCCTTATTTGTCCTCTGGAAGCAGGCAAGGAACATTGTATTGAATTAGAAGAAAAAATGATATCCCATGGACTTTGGGGCGTTTTGACAATTTTCCTTCTCTATTCTAGTTTCTAAAACAATAGAGAACTAGGCATCACTTCAGGATTCTGTGTTCAGCTGCAACTGTAACTTATTAAGTGTTCCTCACCAGCAAGTTCCTGGAGAGGTCTGTGTGTGTGTCTGTGTGTGTGTGTCTGTGCATCTCTCTCATTTCTCATATGGATATATCCTCTAGACGGTAACACTTGAGTCATGTTTTATTCATGTAGCATATTTATTATATAATGAGTGAGAGTTTAGGGTTTTGGGATCCAGGGCTATAGTGCACATTCTGGGAACCCAAAGATCTGATTCTGGAAACTTTCTGCCTGTTGAAAATGCCCCACTGCAAAATATTGCTGTTACCCCATTGTGATTGTGACGGTTAAGGCTGTCTGAGAAAGTAAGATTTAAAATCAGATATAAAGAAGAGAAGAAAGGAACCTCAATAAGGGGTGTGTGTGTGTGTGTGTGTGTGTGTGTGTGTGTGTGTGTGTGTGCGTGCATGCGTTTGTGTGTGTGTATGAGCATCAACGTGTGAAAAGAATGTTCAAGCACATGAAACACCACTCGGGCAAAAGGCCTTGGAGAGGGAAGAGCATGTCCTAGGAGCTGAAAGACGACTATTGTATTCAGAGGGGAACCTGAGCTTTATAACATTCTCTGAATTAGATGAACTGCAGAGTCTCCATTTACAAAGAGAGGCGGACTGCAATTCTGGGGCATTTGCCCATCCATACTGTAACAGCAGTACGGGGTGGGGACAGGAAAGAACCTTGGGCCCAAGCAAGATGGGGAGCACAGGCCAGAACCTGTATAAGGCTGAGTCCCCTCACCCCGCAAAAAAACACCACACCTTCAGTCAAAAAGGGTGAACCAGCAAAAACCACCTAGCAACTGTAGAAGGCAGCAAGGATATTTATTCTAATGACCTTGGCTATGGGTGAAGGAGAAATAGACAAGCCCCCTTTATATGTCATAACTATTTGTTGACCCTGTTGTGAGTTTAGGGTTGAAATTCACATTGCTTGCAGAATGTGAAAGACTCAAGCAGGCAAATTATTTTCAAATGGGTGTGAATTAGTAGCACCTACAGATGGTCAGGAAGAATATAAATCTTTTCAGAAGGAACATATCTTCAATTTAAGCTGAATTATTTGGGGTGTGTGTGTGTGTATGTGTCTATGTGTGTATGTGTATGTGTGTGTGTTTATGTCTCTCTGTGTGTGTATGTATGCCTGTGTGTGTCTCTGTGTGTGCATGTGTATATGTGTATATGCATATGTGCGTATGCATGTGTGTGTACATGTATATGTGTATTGGTGTCTATGTGTCTATGTGTATCTGTATGTCTAGGTGTGTATGTGTGTGTGTATGTCTGTTAGGGGAAGGGTGGATATTTTGCTCTTTGGCATCTCTTGTGCTCTTTGGCACAAGTTAGCAGGAAACGTGTCCACAAGTATCTGTCATTGTGTTTTCTGTTCTTTTACTATGTGCACAAGCTCTAAGCATGTACGTGAGGTGGGAGGGCAGGAGGGAGGCGAGGGGCCTGGGAAAGTGCACTTGGAGTGTAGTGGTGTTGCATTGCCCAGACCTTGACGTGTAGTGGCAGTGTAAGTGGGTGGAGGAGAGGGTAAGAGCAGCTTGTGTAAGAAGCAATATGCAGCCCGAGTGGCCAGTTTAAATGAGCAATTTAACGTTGGAGTTGTAGAGTTTGTGTTTGCTGCCATCCATTTTCAAACAGTTTCATCCACTTTCATCCAGTTTGATAAGCCAGTGCCAGTGTAAGAAAAAATATACACTTCTGCTCTCTTTGAAACTGTGTGTAGCTGAGACAGTCTGTAAATGTTTGGGGAGGTGTATGCTCACACAGACAGCGGAGCATTGTCTTGGAATGTCTTTGCAGACATATGTGTACTGGTTGGTCCCTGGCAACGCTGAGTGAGGCAGAGTCCTCCTGGGCCCTTCCCAATAAAAGCAGCAGCAACAACAAAATAACCAGGATTACCTTGAGCAGAGGAGAAAAAATGTCTTAGGAAAAAAATAAAAACAAAACCAAAAACCAAACCTGCCAGTGTTTAAGTAGAAGGGAAATTAGAGAAAATCCCACTTGGTTATGAACTAGGCTAACTCTGGCTTCAGGAAGCAGTGGCCATACTTCATTCTTTAAAATGGAATCTTTGAAGTGGCTTCTAGTCAGATTGCTGGTGCATGTGGAGTGGATATCATTTGTTTTAATTTAGGGGTTAGGAAACAGTTTACAGTGCTCCAAACTGGAAGTTAAAATGATGGCAAGGAGACATGTAGTAGGTGGAAACTTGGCCATGATGGTAGGAAACAAATGAGAGTTATAAATGGAACATCCCCCTCAGTCTGGAAAGCACATACTAATAATGTAATAGAAGGATCATTCTTGGGTTCCCAGGTTTATTGTATTTTTTTTATTACTTAAACATATGACTTATAGGGCAGTACATGGTTGTATGGGAGTCAAGAATTCATAATTATCAGATATTCCTTAATATAGAGAAATAATTGACACTATAGATTTGAGTGGGGGATATTTATAACCACCCAAACCCAAAAGAGCAAGAAAATGAGGTGACAAAACGTACAGCATTTCAGTAATGGAAGAAACGTACATGGCCCAATATACTTGTCTTAATTTTTTACGTAAAAATTGAGTCTCACCCTTTTGCATATTCCCAAGTACCTAAGTAAAACACCAGTGAACAAATTACTTAATCTACTTAACACTAAACAATTGCACAGTCTCTGTTTTTCTTCACTCAAATGATCTGAGTCTTCATAACTGGGTAAAAACAGAGTAAAACAAAAATGAGTTCCAATATCACAAGTAACAGTACCCCATTAACTGGTAGCAAAGAGAGTAGAACAGGCAATATTTAGCTTTCCCCTAAAGAAATACCATGTGCCTTTTTCTTCTCTTACACTTAATAGACATTTAGCTAATGTGTCTTTCCTCATGATGTTTTCCATATGTTTAGTATTCTCTTTTAGAAGAACCAAATCATTTACCTAATTTTTACAACAAAGCATTCATTTCTTTATACTGACTCTTGCTAAACCACATTTAAATGCTACCAAACAATTTCCTCATGTAATTTGTTTTTGAGGTTCTCAAAGAAAATTTTTAGAATTCCAAATTCTCTTCTCAATTCTATACCTATAGAATGTGTACAATGATGTCTATGTCCTCAGATTTTACAAAACTGAGATGAGGTGCAGAGTTTCTAGAACATTTGTCTTGGTGACTGCATTTGGTTGATACTTCATACTATTACCGTCATTACAGTTAAAACTATTACTACTGCTGATATACTAATAGCAATAATATTCTAACCTTTATTACTCAAGGAGCCAGAGGCATAAAGCATTGCTTTGCAAATGTGTAAATTTGTAAATACATGAATTAGATATTATTCATTTATTCAACATCTATTAAAGAGCTAAATAGAAATCAGCAAGCAAGAAAGAAAACAAAAAGTTGAAAACTGGATGCTCCTACATAGGTTTTACAAAATGCATCACTAATTTATTCAACAAATATTCGTTTTATCAGAC